GCAAGACTAGCAGCAATATATTTTGCTTCAGTAGTTGATAATGATACTAAATTTTGCTTTTTACTAAACCAAGATACAAGTGAATATCCAATGAAATGACATGTACCACTTGTACTTTTTCTATCGAATTTACATCCAAAAAAATCATCATCACTATATAATGATAAGTCAAATGTGTTATTCTTAGGATAAAATAAACCATAATCTGTAGTGTTTTTAAGATATCTAAAAATTCTTTTTACTGCTTTAAGATGATATTCTTTAGGATTAGATTGAAATCTAGTACATAAACATACAGTAAACATAGTATCAGGTCTACTTGTTGTAATGTAAAGAAGTGATCGAATCATACCTCAGTATAGTTTTTAATCAACATTCTTACTATTTTCATCTTTGTCAAGTGATGTAGTTATACTCATTGGTGTTGGTTTGCTTATTATATTTTCCATTCCAAAGCGTTTGATTAATTCTTTAGCATACTTGCTTTGGTTGATGAAAACTCCTTCCTTTAATTATTTAATTTGTAGTCCAAGAAAGAAATTGAGTTTACCCATGTGATTTATTTCAAATTCATCCTGCATAGTCTTAGCGAACTCTTGACAAAGATCATCGTTAGTAGAACCAAAAATTATATCATCACATATATTTGAATTAATAGTATATCTTTATTTATTTTCTTTATAAAAAGTGTAGAATCAACTTTTCCAATTTTAAAATCAGAAGTTAAAAGAAAAATATTTAATCTATCATACCAAGCATGGGGTGCTTGTTTTAAACCATATAATGCTTTCTTAAGTTTGAAAATATGGTTTGAAAAACTTTTATTTTCAAAAGCTGGAGGTTATTCTACAAAAACTTCATCTTTAATAAAACCATTTAAAAATGCACTTTTAACATCCATTTGATATAATTTTAAACTCATAAAACATGCAAATGTAAGTAAAATTCTTATAGATTCTAAAGAAGCAACTGGTACATAGGTTTCATCATAATTAATATTTTCTTCTTGATTATATCCTTGTGTAACCAATCTGGCTTTGTTTCTAACAAGTTCTTCAGATTTATCTAATTTATTTCTAAATATCCATTTGGTTCTAATAATGGACTTATCTTGTGGTCTAGCTACAAAATCCCAAATATTATTTCTTGTAAATTGGTTTAGTTCATCTTGCATAGCAATTATTTAAAAATCATCAAGTAAAGCTTCTTTTTATATTTATTTGTTTAATAGTAAAAATAAAAAGAGCCTGAGCAATCAAATTAAGATGAGATCTAGTAGTGAATTTATCAAAAATATTACCAATACCCAAATTATATGGATGATTTCTAACTTCTACAAAATCCTTGGATAAATTATTTTGTAAATTATCATCTTTTGAAATATCTAGCATTGGAGTATCATGAATAGAATCAACTAAATCATCATCATTATTTAAAACAATAGGTGTTTTTGTAAAACTCTCATCAAAAGAAACATGCATAGATTCTTCAATGACTAAGGTTCTTTTGTTATATATTCTATAAGCTTTGCTATGGTTAGAATATCCAACAAAGTTTCCTTCGTCAGATTTAGAATCAAATTTGTCCAAGTTATCTTTTAGGTTTAAAATAAAGCATCTACAACAAAAAACTTTAAAATAAAAAACTTTAGGAATTCTGTTTAGAACATAACATGTCATAAGGTGTTTTGTTTAAAATAGATCTTAATAATATTCTGTTTAGAACATAACTTGTTGTAGAGAGAGCTTTCACCCAAAAGTATTTTGGTAGGTTACTATCACAAACATGGTTCTAGCACATTCTTGTAAAGTTCTATTCTTCTTTTCTATAACTCTATTTTGTTGAGCCGCTCGAGGAAAAGAAAAAGTGTGTGAAATACCATATTCATCACAAAAATTTGAAAAAAGTTCTTTCTCAAATTTTCCTCCATGATCATTACGTATAATAATAATATAAAGAGGCTTTTGTTTTTGAATCCTTTTGCAAAAGATAGAAAACTCATTAAAAGCATTATTTTTATGTTTAATAAATATTACCCATATAAATCTTGAAAAATCATTGACAAGTACAAATGCATATCTGCTTCCATTTAATGATGCTACTCTAGATCGACCAAAAATATCAATATAAATCAGTTCTAGTGGTTTACTTGTAAAAATTAGATCTTTAGATTTGAAAGATGATTTATGCATTTTTTCTTGTTTGCATGCATCACAAAAATCATCTTTATAAGAAAGCTTAGGTAAACCATTAACAGAATCATTCTTAAAAATTTTAGAAATATGTTTAAAGTTAACATGACCAAAACGTTTATGCCATAAAATAGAATCATTAGAAGATGCAAGAAGACAATGTTCATTACAAATGTTCTTTATAAATAAAACATATAATTTATTTTTTCTATGCCCTTTAAATAACACAGTAATCATATCAATATCATAAATTAAGCAAGATTCTTTTTCAAAAATAATTGTAAACAGTTATCACAAAGTTGACTTATACTAAGCAAATTATGTTTAAGACCATCAACTAATAAAACAATATCAATAATAGGTTTATTTGGATTACCGACAATTCCAATACCGATGACCTTCCCTTTATTGTTATCTCTAAAAGTAACGATACCATCATCCTTATTTATAGAAGATGACAACAATTGTATATTATTGGTCATATGTTTAGAGCAACCGCTATCCAAAATCCACCTTTTTTTTAGGTACCTAAAATGATAAACATTTACAATTTTGGTACCTATGCTATGTTGGGTCCATAAAATTAGCATTTAGAAAACCAAACTCATGAAGAGTTTGATTTACTTAAATAGTTATTTGATAAACAAACATCTTTAATAAAGATAGAAATATAAGACTTTTTCTTTAGCGAAGTTAATTCTTTAGGTACCCAAATAGATAAGTATTTTAATTTCTTTTCACATAAAACATTATCTTTAACATTATGTTTATGCAATTTAGAAGTTGGTTTTACAAAAATGGTTTTTTTAGAAATATTTTTGTTAACATAAAAACCCAAATTTTTTATCTTTTGAGATTCTTTTTGATATGAAAGTAAATTATTAAGATTTTTTTACCTTTATTGAATTTACTAATATTCAAACATATATCATCATATTTTAATTTAATAGAAAAATATCTTTATCTAAAACATTAATACGAATTTATAAATTATTGCATTTTGATTTTAGATAAACATTCTCATTAGTAAAAATATGATTTTCCTTAAACAATGATTTATCCACTTTCAATTCAATTACTTGAGAATAGTAGAAGAATTAAAATCAGAAATTTCTTGAAGTAATCTTTTATTTTCACCTTTAAGAAAATTATGTGAAGCCTTTAATCTCAAAAATGTTTTATATAATTCATTGAAAGCATCTAAAAGCTCTTCATTGTTAGTTACTTCATCTTGTGCTATAAAACACATACGGGCGCTTTCCTTTTCTTCGATTTCTTCATCTGAAGACGAATCATCACTATCATCCCATGTAGCCACCAAAGCTTTCATTTTCTTGTTGCTTTGATATTGTTGAAGTTTTTCAAATAATTTAATTTTTGCTTATTTTTCAACAATGGATAATCTTTCTTCATATGTCGTGGCTTATTACATTTGAAACAAAGTAAGTTATTTGAATTTGAATTTTTTGATTTAAACTTACCTTGTTTAATAAAAACTTTTGAAACTTGCATGTAAACATGCTTATTTCTTTATCATCATCCGAATCTTCTTTATCGGAGGTAGTATTGAATGCAAGCACTTTCTTGTTCTTTATTTTATGCTCATTCTATATATCTTCAATTTGAACTTCATAAGCTATGAGGTTACCAATTAGATTTTCTACCGTAAGACTTGATAAGTTGTTTGCTTCCTCTTTTGCGGTAACTTTCTTTTCCCATTGCAGAGTAAGTGAATGAAATATTTTTCGCATCATCTCCACTTGAGTGTATACTTTTCCATGACCCATGAGAGAATTGGTGATATCGGTAAACCTTGTAAACATCTCTCTATGGTCTCGTTTTCCTTCATTCTAAACAATTCGAATTTGTGTACAAGAACAAAAAATTTTGATTCTTTAACCTTACTTGTGCCTTCATGAGTTACCTCGAGTGTGTGCCAAATGTCATATGCAGATATGACCATTGACACCCTGTTGAACTCATTCTTGTCAAGAGCACAGAGCAAGGTGTTCATTGCTTTAGAATCCAAATTTGCGTTGTTTCTTTGAGATGTAGTCCATTCCATGAAAGGAGTAGTTGGCTTCTCGTATTTTATTTCCACAATGTTCCAAAGTTCATAGCTAATTGATTGGACATAGATTTTTATCTGATACTACCGATAATTATAATTTAGTCCATCAAATATTGGTGGACGATTTGTAGAATGTCATTCCTTAAATTTTGAGTTTGAGTCGGAAGTTGATGTCATTTCATCAACCTTTCTCTAATACCAAATGTAGGATCTGATCTAATCACACATAAACACTAAAAGAGGGTGAATAGTATTTCTTTAAAAATTTATGCAAAGAATATTATAATTTGCAAAAAAGATAGCATAATAGTAGAAAATCACAATCACAAGCACATAATTTTATACTGGTTCCACCTCCCAAGTGTACATCATGTCCCCAAGTAAATTTCACTTGAGAGTTCCACTATAATTTTGAAAAACTTACAAAACCAAACAGCAAACCTGACTAATTTGCAAGTCCCTACAAATTGCACATGATCTCTTCACCAAGAGATTACACCTCTCACAACCGTGAGAACACTTGTCTTGTTACAACTTAATTCCTATAAGCCTTAAGTATATTGTGATGTGTAGCAGTAGCTTAGGAACATTTTGAATCTCTAAAAATGTCACGCCCCGGGTCCAAAACGTGATAATTTGGAGCGTGAGTTAGTCGGCAATGCAACCATAGGTTACATTCACGCCTCTGGATCATCCTGTATACAGGTATATTACCAAAAGAACTACTACATAGAACATGTAACTAAAATAGCAAAGGAACTAAATAGATAAAGAAAACTCTGAAAAGACAAATTTCTCTTACATGTCTACAACTCTTCAAAGTAGGAAAGAGGAAAATACATCTTAGTCTGAAGTACCACAAGTGATTACAAGAAAGACTCAATAACTGAAGCTGAGAGAGAGAAGAGATCACTGTCGCTGGTCTTAATCCTTAAAGTACTCTTGGTCCTGTGAAGAAAGAACAATTCCCAAGTCTGGGGCATGCAAACCCCAGGGGAGTCAGAAAACTCCCAGCAAGCATGTAAAATGAAGAAATTATGTACGTGTAAGTATAAGTGGTAGATATAAAGAAAAGATAAATTCTAAATTTTCAGTGATAAAAGAAAATGCCTATCTTATAAACCAAAATACGATGAAAACTCAATTAAAGATGATAAAGGAAAGTTTCTAAACTTGGATGTCAATTACATGCTAAAGGAAGTTTCTAAACATGACAACTCAATTAAAGAACTTTCTAAACATAGATATCAAATAAGGTCTACCATAAAGCATACTTCTTATACCCTATACTAAAATGAGGTAAGATTTAGAAACCCACAATATGAGAGATGAGTACGTCGAGGGAATAATCCAAACAAGGAAACCCTCGTATATACCATATATCTCAAACTGTAAATCTCTAAATATTAACTCCTAAAATTCTATACACTACAATATCAAATATACAACATCCACACTTCATCCAGGTCCATACCGTGCATGCCAAATCTATCACAAAGCATAAAAACACATTATTCTTATTTTTACATGTTATTTGAATTAGAGAAGAATATTTTCATGTATATAAATCGGTTCCCCGTAACCCGTCCCGGGAACACGGCTTCAAGTCAGGAATTGGCTCTTTGGCCCATGTACATATAACTCAGGATATCAGGAATACGCATATACCCGTTTATATACATGTTATATTCTCCGTCTAATTCCCCTTTATAAATCCCATGTTTATCGATTAAATTTTTAAGTGACTGTGCATGAAATGTTGTGCACTAACCATAGTGTTACCATGAAACGACTTCTGTAAAACCATGAAAATAACCGTGATCCAGAACATGTCCAATCAAGAAAGGTGCAACGTCTAGTCGATGCTATAATAGTAATAGCCAAGGAAATCTCATATCGGGATATCGATATCGAGAGCATAGCCATGCTATGAAAACACGCTTATAAATCATATTTTAACAGGAGTCGTCTTCATGCACGGTCTCTCCTATTGGATAATAACTAGGTGATCAAGCAATAATATTCCATAAAGTCATGCATGTCAACACAGTATCAAGCAAGATAAACACTATATGTATAAATCGGGTTTTTAATCTAATCATGACATTTCAGGTGATTTCCATTGTCAAATATCAAATCAAATTGAAGCTTAGCTTGGACAACACAGAGGACGTGGTAGGAATAATTTACCAAAGAACATGGTCACTATAAAGCTGAAGAAAGGGAGAGCACATGTAGACAACCCTAAACAATTCATAATAAACTTTTTCTTTTCTTTTCTTTTCTTTTTGACAATGCTTACATAATGTGTTAAGATTTTTGTTAAGGCACCGGTCACTAGGACCCAGCATCTACGGACAGTAAATACATATTATTAGAGCCATTATGACAAAATAGAAACATTACTATACTAAACCCATTTCATCGCAACTGTAAACCACTCGCTAAACTATTAATACTACCATTTGTGGACTCTGATATATTTCCACTTGAACTGATCTTACGATGTAAACTAATTACTTGACACTATATTATATTAATTAACAATAACAACTAATATCGAATTATACAATTTTGAGTATTCACCTGCTTAATAACCGTGTACTTTATAAAAAGTGCGTAGAAAGATATTTAAGTAAAGAGAAATGCTTAAACGCTAGAGCCTGTTTGGTTAATTTTGACCCTACAAACACGATTCACAATAACTATGGCACATGAAAAACTAATGTTGACCGCCTTTGCCATGCCAAAGGACCATGACTACCAAACTACTGCACAATCAAAGATTCAAAAGCATTACTAAAGGACTGCAGTTCCATGTCCTGCCATATATTAGGATGCACATACTTCCAATTTCTACTTTTAACTTAATTCACTTTGATCCTAAAATAATTCATACCTCGAGATAATAGTACCACTCACATAAGCAACCTGAACATATTCATCTCTAGTGGCAATGTTAGGCCAGTCAAAGTGAATTCTCAAAAGTAAGGACAGAGACTAAGAGGAAAACAGTCAAAAGTTGGAGGAATTGCATATTTTGTATGACCATACTAGCTAACTTGCCAGTTGCAGTAATCTTAACACATCAACAATCTAGACAAGGGAATACTAAATCTCACAGATTAGGAACTTTCGTCTCCCATTAGCCAAAGAAACAAATCTAGCCTCAATATTTTCTACGACAAAATGCTAGAAATTTTGATAAGTGATCATGAAAAAAAATAAAAGAATTGAAGGATAAGAAATGCTTGCCGTCGAGGGGGTGATGGCGCTGTTTGGGGATAAAGACAACGAGCGGCGGAGGACAGCAGCGACGGGTCTGCAGGTGGCAGTGCTGAAGAAGGACTTGGAAGCGAATCTGGATGTGGATTTGGTTGCGGGAGGTGTGGTCGAAAGCAGTGGACGAGGCGGCTGATGCGAGAGTTAGGGCTACGTTTATTTTCGTCTCGAGTCGCAAAAGCAAAAAAGGAGAGAGAGAAGCGGAGGGTTTTACTTAATGCCCTATTTGGATGGAGGGTAGAGAGGGGGAGGGGAAGAGAAATGCATCTTTCACCTTGTTTGGGAGTTTTTGTAAGGAGGGTAGAGAAGAGGAAGGAAGGGGAACGGAGGGTAAAACCCCCCCCCCCCCCCCCCCCCCCGATTCGGGCGGTAGAGGAGGGTAGGGGGAATCGTCGGAGTGCAGTAAATTTGTAATTCCCATCTTGCCCTTCGTAAACAAGATCGCCGTGTCGACAACATTTCCACATAAATAAAATTTCCGGATAGAAAAGTTTTAAAAAAAGGTAAAATTTTGGGGGATCGAAACCAGGTGAGGGTGGTCGAGAGAGGGGAGAAGGGGTACGTTAAGCTTACGAAGCAGTGGCGGAGCACCAGCATCGCCCTGCGGCCCCGGGAACTCGAGCGAGCTCGGTGAATGAAAAGCGCAGGTGGCAGCAGCAATTCGGCGGTGTTGTTGTTTCTTGGAGAATGGATTGGGCCGGGCCAACTAGGAGTATTGTCAGATTCGAAAGTGAAAATTTCCTACCTTTTAACTTGTTTTTTGAGTAAGAAATGGCCTAGTTTAGTACATTACTACCACGTAGAAAACGACAAAGTGAGAGAGTGAGATGAGATTGATCAAATGAGCTAGTCGATAGTTATTTATTTAATATGGTAATCGGTATCGTTCGTCCTAAATTGTATGCCACATGTTCTATGTGCATAAAAATTTGTATAATTTTAATTTCTCTAATCAATAATTATAACAACTATTTATTTAATATTGTATTCCCATCTTGCCTCGTGTCGGCGTGTCGGATGGCCGTGTCGGATCCGTGTCCGTGCTACATAGCGTAAGAGGATTGATTTTGTAGGATCTTTATTTTATTTAGTTGCATTTGCAGATGAACCATTTCAAATAGACATGAATGCAGTAAATCTGTCTTTTTTATGGTTTATTACTTATGAAGAGAGTATTTTCCATTTGCGAATTATTACAGCGATATTCATCGGTGTGTTTTATCAATTTGAGTTGTGTGTATTGATTTGATAAGATCACGTGCTATTAGTATAAGGTCATTTGTGTAAATTTACATATATTTTCTTCCCTTCCCTTCCCTTCGTTATTACTCCCAAACAAGTTATATTAATTTCACCTTCATTCACCTTACTCAACTCCCAAACAACATATTACAATTCCCCTCCCTTCCCTTCCCTTCCCTTCCCTTCCCCTTGTTTATCTTCCCTTCCCTTCCCCTAGTGAACTCCCAAACATACCAGAAGAGAGGAGAGAGAGAAAGAGAGGGGTGTGGCGGCTGTGTAAAAAGAGGGGAAGACAGAGAGAAAGAGAGGTATATATATACTCTGGGTAGGTTAGGGTTAAAAGGATTAATTAATAATAAAATAAATAAATAGGGTAAAATAGAAATAATTAGGGAAAATCCTTGTAAAAATTAACAATGATAATAATAACAACAACAATAATAAAACAATTATTTATTTGAAAGTTTTTACCATAACTATTTAATTTATAATTATCAAAATCATTAATAAATATAAAAATTAGATTTTTAAATCATAGAAAATTCTAGAAGACCGAGAAAATACAAATACTCTTTTAAAAATAATAATTGAATATTTTAAAATACTAGAAAAATTTATTTATTTATTTATTTTTACTAGTATTAAAATTTTATGGTCCTTACAAAAAATTGACTAATTTGATTGTATATTGAATGAAGATCAAAGGCTAACTCAGAGAATGCTTTTTCTCAACACTTAGTGAAAATCTGGAAATTTTTACTCTTGGAAAATGCACAAAACTTAAACCTTGTAGATAGGAATGAGTGAGTCAATTTTCTGAACCTGTAGCCTATTTATAGCCCTTGAAAAGATAATTTTTCAAACCCTAAAAACATGCTCATAACGGCTATAAATAGTCACTTTTTCAAAAATTAAAATGTCAGAAAACTGTTTTAGTAGTCGACTAATAGTCATTATAGTCGACTACTCTGAGTTAAAACAACTTCAGTAAACTCATTATTTTTCTCAGTAGTCTACTGCTATAGTCATTAGTCGACTACTCTGTAAAGTAAAAAACTAGAATTCAAAATTCGAAGCTGAGTAGTTGACTATACTGTGTAGTAGTCGACTATACTGTAAACAATAGAAAGTTAGAATTCTGAATTGACTTTTAGTAGTCGACTATATAGTCTAGTAGTCGACTGCACTATAACTTTACAGAAACTGAGATTTTGCCTAAGTGCTAAGTAGTCGACTATAAAAGTCATTAGTCGACTAGACTGTAATTTGACAGAAGCTTATATTTTTTATCTAAACTTCAGTAGTCGACTACCAGTAGTCATTGGTCGACTACTAAGTGGTGAAAACTAAGATGAATAGATATTTTTAGACTTATTGATAAATTATAATCTCTAATGGTTAACAATGGAGATTTTTATTGTTAACCAACACACTAAGCATGTGTTAGTATGTTTTAATCACTATGTATGTGTATGTGTGAGTGATCAAGGCTTGTACAAAATTTTAATGTAAAGAAAATATAAAATGTACATTGATTTATAAGCTCTTCATCTTTTTTACTTTATGATACCTTGAACTCATTTTGTACTTGTTCATATTTGATGTTGAAAGCTGCAATGATATGTTAGTGCCCAATAATATTCACAGTAATATAATTAATGAATAAATTGTTATCATCAAAATTATATCTTGGGGACATGATATCAAATAGAGAATGATGAGAGATGATATGTCTTGGGTTTGGCACATATTTCTTCATATTTGAGACATAGGACGTCATGAATCTTTGCCAAGTCTGATGGCAAAGCTAGGCGATAAGTAATAAGTCTAATCCTCTCCAAGATCTTGAATGGACAAATATATCTCGAATAGAGTATGTCTTTCTTTCCACCTCTTGATGCCTTTGGTTAGTGCGGTCTTCAGATATGATCACGGACTTGAAACTCTAGGTTGTTGCATTAACGAGCTACGTAGCTCTTCTGCCTACTTTGTACAATTCTCATAAGCTTTTAGATGATTTAGATCTTCGTCATTTCCTAATTAGGTCGGGTCTAAGTAGCTAACGACAGATGATTTCTACCCAATAGATAGGGGATTTGCATCGTCTACCACATAAAGATACATAATGCACTATGCCAATACTGGAACAAAAACTATTGTTGTAGGTTAACTCTACTAGTGGCAAATATGTAGCCCAATTGCTTCCAAAATCCAATGTTGAAGCTCTTAGCATATCCTCAAGGGTCTGTATCGTTCTCTCTGATTGTACATTACTCTAAAGATGTGTTAAGATGCTAAATTTCATTCTAATTCCCAAAGCTCTATGTAAACTCTTCTAGAATCTTGAAATAAAATAGGGGTCTCGATCCGATACAACAGACACAGGAACTTTGTGGAAATTCACGATCTCTTTGATTTAAAGATTGGTCAAATTTCTTCATAGTATGCAGCATTTTCTAGGCCATGAAATGTATTGACTTGGTTAGGTGATTAACTACCACCCAAATAGCATCTTCTGCTCTTCTTGAGCGAGGTAGACTGGTGATGAAATCCTTAGTAATATGGTCCCACTTCTATTCTGAGATAGGAAAAGATTGAAACAACCCTAAGGTTTCTGGGGTTCAATCTTCACATGTTAGCATGTTATGCACTTTGATACAAATTAGCGGTATGCACCTTGATGTAACTCCATCAAAAGTTATGTCCAAGATACTAGTAGATATTGGTGCTTCACAAATGAAGAGTGTAAGAGGTTTGGTGATCTTCTCTCAATATTTGCTCCTTGAGCTCCTCATTATTGTGTATGCAAAGGTAATTTACCTATGTTAACAACACCGTTATGAATCTGAATGTTTGAATATTTACCTTACTCCCCTTCTTCTTTATCTCACTCAACTCTTTGTCTTTCTTCTGTTGTTCCTTAATTTGATGCAATAGACTAGGCTTATTTGACAAATCTTTACACCTAAATGATGCATTTTAACTTCAATGGACACCCTTTCTATCTCTCCAATTAATTTGGCTTATTTAATAACTATACATGCTGATATGGCATGTTTCTTTCAACCGAGTCCATCTTGCCACCAAGTTGGCTTTACGTAGGTTGTAAAGGATGTTTAGATCATACTCCTTAAATAACTCTAACCATCTCCTTCATCTCATGTTGATGTCCTTCTGAGTAAAGATGTACTTCAGACTCTCGTGATCTGTATAGATGTCACATGTTACTCTATAAATAGTGTCTCTAGATCTTCAAAGAAAAAAATCATAGTAGCACGTTGTAGATCATGAGTTGGGTTGTTCTTTTCATGTGTTCTCAATTGCTTAGAGGTATAAGCTACCACCATCTCATTTTGCATCAAAACACAACTCAGACCTTAGGAAGATGCATTATTAGATATCACGAAGTTATCTAAACATATAGTGATAGTGAAAATGGGAGCAGTTACTAGCCTCTTCTTCATCTCTTGAAAATGATCTCGCGTTTCTTACTCCACACAAACTTGGCACTCTTACGAGTCAAATAAGTCAAATATACCGCTAATTAAGAAAAATCTTTGATAAATCTTCTATAAGCCCCGGCTAATCCCAAACTCTGAATCTCTATTACCGAGTTAGAACATGGTAAATTCAAAATAGCTTCAACTTTCATTAGGTCTACAAATATCCTATCTCTAGTGATCATGTTCGGAAGACTCACTCAAACTAAAATTCACA